CGCAGCGACCTTTTACATGAACACCTTAGTTATACCACCAATGGATCAAAGATATAAGGTTATTAAGGAGTATCACGAATCAACAATTGGGAGTCATGAAGGAATGAATAAAACCTACAATAAGATAGCAAGGGACTATTATTGGAGGAACATGAGGGCCGATGTAAGGCAATTTATACTTGGATGCAGGTCATGTCAGACTAAAAAACTAGTGCGTGTAAAAACGAAGCAAGCTATGCTCGTTACAGATACGCCCAGCAGACCGTTTGAAAAAATCTTGATTGACTATTACGGACCAATTAATAAGACTTCAACAAACGGTTATACACATATCCTGTCAATACAGGATTGGCTAACCAAGTTTATTGTATTAATACCGGTACAAAGAGCAACAGCTGAAGAAACGGTAAGAGCCTTAACGAATAAATTTTTAGCATACTTTGGAGCGCCAGAAAAATTATTATCAGACCAAGGAGCGCATTTTATGAACAAAACGATGGACGAGTTTACGCGATTATTGAAAATTGAAAAACTTGGGAGCACGGCATTTCATCCTCAGAGCAATGGGGCAATCAAACGCATGCACCACGTTCTTACAGAATACTTAAAAGCCTACATTAGCGAGACCGAAAAATGGGACGAACTATTGCCGTTGTGTATGCTCGCTTACAATACGTCGGAACACGAGAGTACAGGCTACACACCCTACGAGCTTATATTTGGTCAACAGGCAAAACTCCCGTCAAGCTTCAAGAGGCCAGAGGTGGGTCAAATATATACAGAGTTACTGCTGCAAATAACGGGGACACTCGCGCAATTCCGATCATTGGCAGCAATGACCCAAACACAGAACAAATACAGATCAAAGTACTATTGTGATAGGGCGCTGAGCACGAATTTTTTTATGGAAGGTGAGATGGTGTATGTACTAAAAGAGCCATCTAAAGGGAAATTTGATGACCAATACAAGGGCCCTTACGAAATAGTCGGCATAGATTACAGGAACCATAATGTGAAGTTACAGAGAAATGAAGAAATACGGGTCTCACATGTGGACAAAATAAAAAAAGCTTGTGTATTGAAATCTCCGTGTCCGAGAGATAAGATGATAAGAAGAGGAGAAGAAGAAAAGTGAGCGGGACCAAGAGGCAACTTGCTCCCCACCCCAATAGTTACTTACGAATAATAGCATTATAGACGAATAGGGGGTAGAAATAGATGTGAAAATAAATACCACTTCTCTCGGGAACTCTTTTTCTTTCGCGGCCCCCGGACGCGCCGCGAAGGTTCATTAAATACAGACATACGGGGGGAGACATGTAACGAAAGGAAATATATTACGTTCAAAATTAGCACAGACTGAGGAATTAAGGAGAAAAGAGAAACATGCAATATAAAAATAATAATAACAATCATAATAATGAGAAGAAATGAATAAATAACGTGTATAATAAAGTGATATTCTATTTTTATTTTCTTTGTTACTCTTTACATGAACGATGTATAAGAGGTGGGTAAAAAGAGCATGTGGCTCTATCTAACTAACGCTAAAACCATGTCAATACAATTGACACATAAGTGTGCACTTAGAACACATACACAGAACACGAAAGACACGAAAATTGAATGGCATTAGACGAACCTCAGCGAGGGAAAGTCTCACCCGAACATATGCATGAGCAAAAGTAGTAGCATGTAAATATACGTACTAATATTTAAATTGAGTTAACATTTCAGAGCGCATTGGAAAATCCACATGTAAAAGGAAATACAAAACTCTAACGACAACGGGAGAGTTACGCGTGTGGTTTTCTCTCAAAGTGCGGTATATATATATATATGTATGTGTGTGTGCATGTGTGTATTTACATATTTATATATATATGGATGCGTGTGTACGCGATGCAAAAAAAAATGACAAGTGTGGAATATGGAAGGGAAATAATAAAAAGATGAAAATACTGTTTTTGAAAAATTATATTTTTTATTTTTCCTCATTTAAACTAATGGGAGCCACAGCCCTTACAACAGCCACACGAGTAACTCACCCCCTCCTTTTTTCGCCACCGGCCACGACTCAAACCACTTCTTCGAGAAGTCCCGTTAGAACCCTCCCCCAGCTGCAGCGTTTGCTACCGCTGAAGGCAGTCGGCGACGCTGGGCTGAGAATCAGTGGTAGCAGCGATCAGCGTGGAAAAGACGAGGCATCTGCTAGCAGAATGTTGCACCTAATAGCAAAAAAAAAGAAGGAAGAGACGAATTAAATAAGGAACAAGACAAAAAAAAAAAAAAAAAAATTACCCGGATAACCGGTCGGTGATCAAGAGGATAGTTGGCGGCGCCTTGCAGGAGGACGTCCACCACTAGCACCAGGATGGTACCGTGACAGCTACAGCTGACGGCCAGAGAGTAGGAAGCCCCCCCTACTAAAATGGGGCAGTGCAGCCACAACACCTTCCCAGTAAAATGGGGGATGGGCGCCTTCTCCTCCTCCCGCACAACCACGAGGAATGAAGACCCCGAAGGGCATCGCACCTCGCAGGACCCTACCCCTCCTCGATAGGGGTAGCGCAAGGTAGGTAGTGGCAATGCGCCGGGAGGCCACCCCAGTAACAGTAAAGAAACCGGGACCCAGAAGTAGGCGTAGGGATCGACTATCAGTCGCACACCAAGCTAAATAAAAAAAAAAGAGAATTGCATTAGGAAAAATAAAGAAGCCATAAGAATAAAAAATATGACGAAGGCCAAGAGCACTTACCGAACCANTCTCCTCTCATCGTGTGCTGAGTGTATAACAATATTGTTTTTGTATGCGCTTTGCCTTACATTACAATTATATATGAAATCGCCGCGAAGCGGGCTTCTGTTTACGACTACTTTACATTAAGTGTGGTTTGACAATGTGGTTTTTTTTTGTACTTTCACTTGCGCTTATTTATCAAAAAAAAAAGAAAAAAAAAAATTTCCCTTTCATACTTACGCTTTGGCAATCTGGCACGGCGCACGTGGCTTCCTTGTGGAGAGAAGCCCCCAACAGTAACCCACACGCACCGCCATTAGCCACAACGAAGCGCGTGGATCGCGAGTCACCTAAACGCAACCGGACAAACCCAAGGAGTCGATCAAAGAATTGGCTGAAATCGGCCATGACTGTCGAAGTTAACTGCAAAAATCGTGCACGTAAGGAGACGTAGGATACACTGACTCGGCAGCGACGTTGGAAAAGCAAACGCAGATTCATACACCTATGTAAATCCCTTCCCACCTTAGGTGAGTCACTTGAAGAAAAGAGAAATAAGGAAGAAATAAGAATAACGTAGCATACAAAGTCGGGAAACGAAAGTTTATGATATAGAGCAATAAAATTTTCCCCTTTTTTCTATTCCCTCTCAAATCCACACTCGCCTCCGCTGAAAATTAACCGAAAAAGTGAATGCGTGTAACGTAGCCTAGTAAGGAATAAGACTATTATGTACCTTATGTTTATAGCATACACATAAATGGTATAACAAATATAGATGTACATAAGTGTAACATTAATATTATATGCAACGATACACCCTGAATGTAAAGACGGAGCCACACTCGCTACTTACCGTAGTAACCAGTCAAGCCCTAATACTAGATTGCATTTAATAATTATTGGGAAAATATGTGTAATGAATTGTATGGCAGGGGCATTTGTATTTACACAGAACGTTAAAACAAAATAAAAATAAAGAAATAAGAATAAAATAAGAAAGAAGGGAGAATTTTTCTCTTATTTTCGTAGTTGTTCTCTCTTTCCTTAATCAAGGGTAACCTAAGAACCTAGGAGCTTACGATAAATGGGAGTGAGAACGGGAAAAGAGGATAACTATTTCATGTTTTAGGGGTAAAATAGCGTT